GCTTTCAGAAAGGAATAGGCCAAAAACACATCATGGAGAAAACAAATAAACAAAGAGCCCTGAATAGTGAAGTTAGTTCTAGAAAAATGTCTCTTCCGTCTCATATGGAGACATTGTAGCCCCTGAAATGTTTATTTTTTGACCATCTTAGGGTAAATATCACTGTAGAAGATCATGATATCTAAGCAAAAATATCATTAATCTCAGTACTGTCATATCATATCATATCATATCATTGCTTTGTAGAGCTACAATCACTATGAGCCCCATTATTCACGACGGTCTGCTGGGCTTTAATCTAAAATGCTTTTAATGGAGTAATTTACAAAATTATTACAAAATAATTGTGATCTCAGCCAATATATCCAAAAAGACACTCCCAACATCAGCAAACCCCCCTAAACAGCTTATCTAGTTTATCATGAGGTGACACAGTGATTAAGAGTCTGATATGGCCTCCTAACTTCAAAAAAGAAGTTACTCACTAAGGTGAGTAAAATTTCATAAACTGAACCTGAGGAAAAAATACTTATTTTCATGACTTATGTTAATGTAATTATATCTATGTAATAGATATAATGTATATGATGTCTGTAGTAATTTTGTCTTTGCTCACACTGAACTCTTTTTGTGCCAGGTAAGTGAACAAGTTATAAGACATTCAACCAAAGGTTTCCAGTGATGACAGTTACTTAAACAAAATAATAGTACCAATGTTGAACTTTACACAGAAGAGCTATCCAGGTGAATCTCAAGTATATGAGTGGCTTGTGTCATATCTCATCTTCTTTAGATACACTAAACAATTGTAAAGCAATAGATTAAGTTTTATATGTGTGTACATTAATTCACTTGTAAGAAGATGTCATTAGCTTTAAACAACAGAAATCTGAAAGAAATCAGATCATTGGGAGTGTTTTCTGAGTTTGTCAAGAAGAGAAGCATTCTCTTAAAATTCTGTCTCAACAACAGGTAGAGGTAAATTAATTTTGGTTTAGTATGTCTTTTGAAGCCACACATGCCTAATAATGCATAAACTCCCTTTTCTTTCCCCTTATATCTAACTATAGTAGTATCAGAAAGATAAAGGTAAATTCAAATCCTGGAGTGCAATTAAGCTGAGCTGAAAAATAGCCTTGGTATTTGGCCATACTATTTACTGTGCATGCAAAGCATTTGTCCCAAGGATATTGACATTGAAAACTAGTAAATAGGAGAGAAAAAACCAAACCCAAATAAAAATGAGGTGCTGTTCTAGTTCTACCAAATATAGAGCAGGAACTGAATTGCTGAATTACCTGGTTATAAAGATTTAGCTTGTGAAGGGAAAGAATAGCCCAGCCCTCTTCTTTGTCCTGTTGCCCTTCTTTTTCAGACATGCACACACACACACACACACACACACACACACACACACACACACACACAGAGAGACATGCACATGCACATCTTGGATGTGACACATTAAAACTCCTCTACACACATTTGGTTTGCATTCCTTGTAAGGACGTATGCTCAGTTTGCCTGTTCCATTATCTGATTATCTGTGAAGACCTGAACTGTATTAAATTCACAGTCTGATGGCCTCTTCATGACCTTGTATGACAGAAAAGCATTTAATTTTAGGTGCATGTTTCCAAAAGAAAGAAAAATAGAAAAGGGGGAAGGAAGTATGAAGGCTCAGATTCTCATATGTTAAATTGTGCCTAGTTTTCACTGAAATAACTAAAGTGTATAGTACAACTTTAAAAAAGAAGTCAAACAACACATCTCCAAAAGCATCACACTGTCAAATTCTAGTTTCTGTATGTTGTAATGAATACTTACCTTGAAGATTGAACATGGGCTTGAGAGAGGTTGGGAGACAGCAGGCTAAACATTGCCAGTTATTTTGTCCTGTATCTTGTTTTTTTCCATTTATCTTTGGGTTTGTGTGAGTGTTTTGTTGGTTTTTTGTTTGTTTTGGTTTTATTATCTACTTTATGGCTTGGTATACGGAAACAAGTTTTCAAGTTACTTATCCTGACAATTTCCATGTGTATAGAATCTTTTGACAGAATTAGAACCTTTCTCCTTCCCTTTTCCCTTTTCCCCATCCTCTTCTTCCCCTTAACCTTCCCCTTCCCTTTCATTTCTTTCTGTTTTTTTTTTCCTCTGAAAGAGAGACAACTGCAGTTTGGGTGAAAAAAAGTGCTTCCCTTTGCAAGAAAAGGTACCTAAAGTCCATGTGACATATGTTCTATGGATGCCAAATGGGTTAGTTTAATCATAATGTCTAATTAGTTTAATCAAAATATCTAAATCTCAGTCTGCCACTCCATGTATGTCTTTAGATTTTTTTTCATCATACTTGATATATGCACTATACCTTCAGCCTGCAGAGGCTAAAATTCTCTTGTCAAAGGAGTTGCTTAACAGAAGCATGAGAGTTGAAAACATCCATTCATGGTACTAACATTTGTGTAACTGACTTCATTTGTACAAGAGAAAATGCTAAAAACTCAAATCTTGGTATCTGTATTCTTTCCAGTTCTTTTGTTCTTGGAAGTGGTTAGAGTTATATGAAAGGTTTAAATGGATCCCCTGTTCTGCTTATAGTGACTTGAGAAACTCATTTATTAGCCAAAAGCTGTTAATTCTGGAAGTTTGCCTGGAAGACTGTAACTTGGAGAGAAGGAAAGGAAACTGCTGAAACCTCAAAAGTCACGCAGAAAATTCTAATACACATAGCCATCCCTTATTGTGAACTTGTAAAACTACTTTGGGTGTGAAGATCTCTTTTCCAAAAATAACTCAAGTAATTGGAGTATTTTATGTGTTGTTCATCAATAAGAGACATAAACTGAGTCTACTGAAGAGTCAAACGGCCTACTTTCTTCCCTTTGGTCTTCTTGTCTGCCCATACAAGCCAGAAACTCACATAAATGAACTGACAAAGACTTGACTCAAAATATAACATAGCTGTATGTATTTTTACATATCCTGTTTTAGGGAAATATTTCAGGGTCAGTTAAGAAGTAAAGCTTCCTAAGAGAAAATAGTGTGTATTCCAGTCCATTTACTGTGATTCAGCTTTTCATATAAGGGAAGAGAACAAAATATTTTCAATAGGTTTAGCACATTAATTCAGAATCTTTGCTTAACCTCCTGAAATATGGCCTACCCTTTTCTGGACATTTGCTTTTTTTGATAAGGATAAAAGAGCAATTTCTCAGACTGTGGAACAGACAGAAGAAGTCTCCCTTGTTTCTGGGTGAGATTGGATGATACGTTATAATAACAATGAGAGAAAGTTTGTGAACTAAGGTTGTGAAACGGTCAGCTCTCCACAGTACTGTTTATCTAGCAGAATAATGATTAGCACATCACAGTTCACTCCCCAGAGTAGACACACTAAAATTCAGAACAGAGTTTCATTAGGTTCATAGCAGACAGGAAAAACTCTAATGTTAATATAAGTAAAGTAAAAATAAAAAAAAAAAGTGAAAATAACTTCATAGGGTGCAGTTTGTGTTGATTAGCCTTATAGTAATGAAGTTACAGGGGAAATGAGGCTAAAGAGGAAAACCTCAGTAAATAAGTACAATAGAAAAAAAATATTAATTTTCTTCTTATTAGTATGTGATTTCACTGGGTCTTATTAGTATGTGATTTCTGCTGGAAAAAGGCAATTGTAATGCAGTCCAGTGCATATAGCTCAGAAAAGCTTGAGTACAGGAGGGAAAAAGGTATGATTCTTACAGTTAAGTCTCAGGACTGTGCAGGCATCTCAGCGTGGGTGAGAAGAGAGCCCAGATGATATCCACTGTCTGATTAATCTGGGCACGTTTATCCCCTTGGAGGACACAGGTTGAATGCCCCCATCATAAGATGCTTAGCATAAAAACATAGTAAGTGAATTACACAGGGGAAATCAAGATTCACAATGTCAGTTGGTTCAACTAAATTAGTGTCTGCAAACTGAAGTGTGCGGATTCTGTTCACATTTCAGTAAAACACCTATTCCATTCCACTATCCCAAAGGCTGAATAAAAGCTGTTTATTCAGAGAGGCCCTGAGGCTGACTCTAGTCTTTTACACTTGCAGAGCAACATGGAAAAGGCCAGTGGTTCCTTAGAGGAAGATTTCAAAGAAATTCAGGACTTATGCACACAAACCTTAATATTTAAAGTACAAGTTCTGATCTAAAAGTCATTGCATAAGTAGAACACAGAGTAAGAGGACTTAATATTTATTATTTCAAGGCACACTGTATGTTGAGTATCACCTGTGTCTAAGCATTCAAAACACCTTCCTTGAATAAGAACCTGAAAAAGCAACATCTTTCTATTTCTCCTCACCAAGATATATATATATATATATGTATGTATATATATATATTATTTGATTGATGTGCATTTTCTCCCTTTTGAATACAGAGCTATGCTCAGTCAGCTGATCAACAGTTCATGGACTCAGTATCTCTAGGGAGTTAACACAGAGCAAAATGAGTGCAAACTTTGGTTTAGGGTATTGAACCCTTAAAATGCTTCATAATCTGTGACTGCTAAACTTAGGGTAGCAGCCTGTCAGTTATAAAACTGTACTGGATGTTCAAGATGCCTATTAAGGACCTGGCTGTTGACTGTGTGTTGCAGTGGTGATTGGTTAAAAAAGTACTTTCACAGCTGGGTGTTAAGTACTGATTATGCTATAGAAACCTTATGCCTGCAGGTTCCTGAGAGAAGATATCTAAAAAGCAGAAGCGACATAATTTGATCTTATTGTGCTTCGGGCACACACGGACCACACTGAAATGTTAAATCTGTGGCTGAAATTTGCACTGACATAGATCTTTCTGTACAGAACACTTGTTTGTAGAGAGAAGATAAGATTGTTGTTTTTTTGGGTTTTTTGGGGTTTTTTTGTCAGAGATGTACCAAAAAAGTGTGAGGCACAAACACTCATGTATCAACATATCTTTGGGATTCAAAGAAAATGAAAAAAGGAATCTGGGATAGCAGTTAAAATATGGATGGAGCTGTTAAGTTATTTTATCTCCTCTGTAAAAAACTGATGATGAGACTAGCTTAATTTGCATGACCATTACAATGCAATATGATCTCTCATGAGATTTGCACTAATAAACAGTATAAAGACTTCTCTGCCTGGAGACATTATTTCCCTCAGCTTATTCTGCTCTGAGATTATATTATATAAAAAGAATTATGAAGAGCAATTTTGCAGTTTAAAAGCTCACAAAGTTGTGTAAAAATGCAGCTACCCCATGCTGTCTGTCGTCTTTGGTCAGCTTGGATGAATTACAAGCATCTTTTTCCATTAAAAAAAAATGAAAAATTAAATCTGTGCTGGCAAATACAGAAATGGCTGATGGAAGGGACGACAACTTCAAGGCAATTTATTACAATGAACAAAAAATGGTGCTGGCATTTTAGAAAAGGTGACAAAATCTGTATTAGACAGGTTCTTATTGCATTTTGCCATGGCTGATGCAGAGCAGCAATAGACAATGCTGTCTACCAACTTTTCTTTCATTGGTTTTCTCAAAAAAAAAATCTCAGTAGCATAATTCGATACCTCCTCAAAACAAGAAAAAAAAATCCCATATTTAATTTCTGACTTTATTTATTTATTTATTTGCTTACTTGTGTGTTTTCTGGTAACATCATGGTTTGCAAAGTTAACAATTTGTCTGTAGAAGTAGGTTCGTATATTTGCTTAAATATGGCAGGGGTGAAACTTGTAATTCAATAGTTTGATGTGAAACAAATACGTCCTTCACTCTCTAGCTGTGTCCTGTGCCACATCAAAGACTAAGTAGTGGACAATATGAATCGTCCATGTTCTTTTGACATTAGGTAGATGCTTTGTTTGTAAATAAAATGGTCCATGTGTAAATAAAACTTAATCAAAACCCAACTAAGCTGACTGAAACATTCTTACAGAATACACTGAACTTCATCTGATGCATTACAGCTTCCGAATAATTTTTTTGTGTGTGTGTTTATCAGTGGTCAGGAAGAGCTACTGAACCGCCTTTGTGAACCCAGCAAAAGTGGAAGTGCAGGAAAAAAAGGAGGCAAGATTATTTTGAATTTCACAACTACTGCATATGTGGTAATGAATGTACTATGAAATTTGCCTGGAGTGAATAGCATGTATGTTTCTGAGTTAGTATATAATATATATCTTCATAAATATCTAAAACAAATTCTGAAATTAAGCAGTATGAATAAGCTATTCATTTAAGCAACTAAAAGATATCTATTTCTGGTACAACTATGGTTATTTATCATAAATACATAATGGTATATAAAATAACATTTTATTTTAGTGATGTAAATAAAACCATAATATGGAAATAAGAATTAGTATGAGATGGCTTTTCTTTCTTTCTTTCTTTCTTCTTCTTATACAAAAAAAAAATCTTTGGAAGGCAAAAACTATCATTATTTAGTGAGACTACCTATAATTACACTTATCAAAAAATTATTTCTTACTAGAATGGCACAGTTTAGCAATTCTGCTTTGCAATCTTTTTGAAACTGAATTTGTTTATAATAGCTGTGAAGCAGTTTCATGCAGAAGATATTTCAGAATTTTGCCCTATTCTATTTTAAACATTGTATACTTCTTGGTAACCATTATCCTTATGAACACCCACATCATTACCACTATGCGAAACACAGTATTTTTAATATCAGGAATGATTTCTCCATATTATACAATTGCATATATGCAGTTGGAAAATGACAAGAAAGGAAAATTATCAATTTCTACTCTTGTGACTATAGAGGAAATTAGCTTCACCCATTCATGAAGTGGATAAGGCTTTCTGGTAGGTGGGAGACCCTCTCTTGGTTCCTGCAATCGTCAAACAGAAACACAGTAAAAGTGTTAGTATGTGTCATGGTTTGAGATAGCCCCAAAATCCAATTACCTAGCTCCATCCCCCCTCCCACATCTCAACCCAGTGTGAGATGGGTTTTTCCAGACAAAACACAACCAGACTCAGAGTGGGGGAAAGGGAATATATTACAATGACTGTACAAATAAATACTATAACACATTATACACACGATCACAACTATCTCTACCATGACATATAGTATTTACAATGGATCAGATCTCTTCTCCCCTCCAAATAAAAGTCCAGGAGGGAAAGAAGGACAGATCCCTTCCAGTCCCAAAGCAGGAATCTCTTCTAGGGCAGCAGGTCTCCTCATCTCATGCATGCAGCAGTAACTGGATTGTTGTAGCTGGATCTCTGTTCAATACACACAAGGGGGTCTCCAAGCCCCTCAGCTCTCCTTCGGTCCAAGCGAAGGCCTCACCTGTGGGCTGCCAGCAGGGACCAGACTCGCGTCACCACAGGTATCTCACGAAATGCAGGGGCATCTTCGTGAAAGTCCCTTCCTCAGGGGATTCTAATTCCCCTTTGCAGAGCTCCGTGCTCTGTCTCAAGGCAGCGGGGGTGGGGGTGGGGGGGGCGAAGCCCTCCTCCACATTCCTCTCCGTCCCGGTCCAGCTTCCCAGGACGCTCTGAGCTTCCCAGCTCCTCTCTGCAAGTGCTGTAGCACTCCAAGGCTCTTTCAAGTAAGAGTCCATCATCTTCCTCCTTCCAGGAACTCTCAAAGGAGTTTTGGGGGCTCTGGTATCAGTTCTTACCCCCAGAACTCTGTAACTCTGCTGCAGGCTCTCTTTTCCTCGACTCTCCTTCCAGGAGTCTTCTCTGCGGTGCTGCATGTCTTTGTTGCTCCGTCTTATCTCTTCTGGCTCTCTGCCACCTCTTCTCCGGTCAGTGCCAGCTCGGCTGCTGCTTTTCTCCGGCCGCTACCCAGTTTGGAGAAAACATCCCCCAGCTCACAGCTACAGACACATAGTCCAGTTTAACACTGTTCCAAGTCTCTGTAGCCCCCAACTGGGGCTGGGGGGCCCCAGAGGCCCCGAGGGGCTCCGGGCCCCTTTCCTCGTGGCTCCTACAACATGGCTACTTCTTCTACCAACCAAACTACCACTCTTCTCTTCTGGTGCTTGTGATATGTTTACATTTCTGCAGGAGCGCTCATTGGACAGAACTTCAAAACTTCCAGGGGTTTCCACCCCTGGAGGTTACCACTTTTCTTAGCCTCTGGGGGGAAAACAAGGTTCAAACCACTACAGTATGACAGGAATAAAAAAATCATAGAACTTTGAAAGAGAGAATAGGAGCTTGTGAATTAAAAATTGTTGAGTGCTCACGCCTAAAAGAAAAATTATATTTATCTTCATTATCTCTATCATGTGTTAAGGAAAAATAAGTGAATGCATGTAAAAAGGTAATGAATTGCTCCACAAACCATTCATATGCTTATGTAGTATATCTTGATATCTGACCTGTTTTACAAACCATGCCTTGTTTCTTCAACAGCTAGAGCTTCTGCTGGAGTTTAGATGTGCCTTGGTCACAGTACTGATCCCTCAGGGGTGGGGGAGCCCTTTAAAAAAAAGTTCAGTGGGTTAGTCATGTTCAAGTTCAGGTAGGAGTGTCCAGGTACCTTCCCTGGCATGTGAGGGGAGAGTTTTACACTGTCAGATGAGCCCTGTGGATCATGCGCAGTCCTCTGGTGAAAGACTTGAGTCTGGGGGTGCTTGGGGAGTCTTTGATGGCTTATGAGACCTTCTAAGACAGGATCACTCTCATGCCTGCGTAGCTGAGCCAGCTGTGCCTTTTCAGAAGGGATGAATGCCTTCAGGCCTACCTGTGAATGTTCCAATACTTCATCCTAGTCTGTGGGGTGACATGCTGAAAAACAACGACTTAGCTTCGTACAGCAGAGCTTCAGAATAAATTGCCATAGGATGATCAGAGACTTATTTTCAAAATATTTTTACCCGTTGAGTAGTCTCTAGATGTTAAAATGAACATAGAAGTCAGCACTGGCATTCACAAGCATGTTTTTTGCAGTTGGCATAATTTCAGTGTTTTGGATTTAAATAGAAAAAAATCCTTAAAGTTATTTTATAATGAGTGATAAGGAGAAATCAATCTCTGTGGACTAGAAATTCTATTTTTTTTTCCTTTCTTCAAATAATTTTCCTTTCTCTTATACACTGTCTGACTCAATATCCTCTGTAATCTGCTTCAAAAATACCATTGTTCTGAGACTTCTCTTTAAAAAAATAACTTTGAACACCGTTAAGACAATGACAGGCAATCAAAGCAGGAATCAAGCGGTGGTCTGTGACCTTCTAAGTCAGACCACCAGAGGATCACGGGTACAATCTCTTGTAATTTTTTTTTCAGACGCACAAAAGACAACAGCGTAATCAGGAACAGTCACCGAGGCTTTAAGAAGACCATGTTTGACTAGCCTGATTGTCTTCTGTGACTGCTTTTATAGACAGGAGGGCAGTAGATGACCTAATTTTAGTCAAGATTTTGACACCATCTTCCACAGAATTCTCATTTGAAAACTGTTAGTCTCCTTCATGTGGGAGATTGGTGTGGGTGACATCCAAAACTACCAAGGAGCCTTTATATGATCTTACAGTTCATTATCTGTGGATACTACATTGTATATTTTCAGTATTATGGGTCAGATCTTCTATTAATCCATTAATATAATCAATATAAAGTACAATCTCAAAATCACCACCTAGAAACAGCAGAATGCTGCTTGTGAAATATGAAAAACACCTTTCATTTCTTTGTGAAAATAAGTCAACTAATCAATAAATCAACTTCATTCATCCTAAACCCCAAAATCTAACATATACTATTTTCTTTATTAGGAGGTCACTTTTTAGCCGCTTCATCTCTAACTAGTTTCAAAAGAGAATAGATATAAAGACCTATCTGCCAAACCAAGGAACACCACCCCCACCTGCCCACTCCCCACACCCATCTCATATTAAGTAGCAACAGACTGTCTGATAAGGAGAAGAATGAAGGAGTAATACGGGCTAAATCACTAGAGGGTTTCTTAGCCACACTGAGTAATAACTTATGACTGAGATGACGTTCAAATGAGAATCCTTCCAAAATTAAATACTGCTTATCATGGGTAATAATGACAAGGTCTTATACGAAGTTT